TAAACAGTCACAAACAAATAAAACTGTCGGAAATAATAAAAATTCAACTAATAAAACTAGTGTAAATACTGCAAAGAACAGGCAACAACAAACACCAAGGGTACAAATGATCAATTACAATCCTCAGATTGATCGCTCATTTTACATGTCTAAACAACCACGACCAGTTGGTAATTTTCCAGGTCCACCCCCGATGATGCCACCAGGACCATTCGGACCTCCATTCTTCGGTGGACCGCATTTCAATATGTATGATGCGAATATGCTACCAATTCAACCTCCAATGTTACCACCGGAGATGCATCCCATGGGAAATCCTTACATGAACGTTCCTCATGAATGGAATCCTGCACTTGCTGGGCCATATGGTCGTCCAAATGTAAGGAGTGTATGGGGAGAATCGTTTAATGCACCTCCGGAGATGGGCGGTGGACCATCTCTATTCAATCAACAACCAAATACTGGAAGTACTTTTTTATCACGTCCCACTCAGCAAAATGATAACTCTCCGATATCCCAGACTGGATTTGAAAATAATAACTCTCTTTGGACTAAAAACCAGTGGGGAAATATGACTGGTGGAGAAGGATCGAGTGAGAATAAATCGAACGAACAACAACTTGATCAAAAAAGAACAAACAATAGACCTTCGACGTTTGTTCCTGCACCTCAACAACGTGAAGGCCCAGTAAGTATATTTTCATACCTAATTTATAATAGTGACGAGAATATTTATAATAACATTATTTTGTTATTTTGTTTATTATTTACAGTTTTTCAATTCGGTTTGGAATAATAATAACAATAATAATAATAATAATTCAGATTCTTCCACTATGGGAGTTTTTAATCCAACTCAAACGTCAACGGAATTTTCAACGCAGAATACATCCGGATTGCCAATGATGCCTCCTCATATGTTTCCAGGATTCGTTCCACCACCGATCTCGGGGCCGTCTTCTGGTCCTCGACGTAATAATAATAACCAAATATTTCCAGGACCAGTACCTCCTGAGCACGTCAATTTGCCACGTATGAACATGATGCCACCTCCAATTATGGGATTTCCTCAACAACCTACACCACTAAATGGTGCCATAAGGCCTCCAAAGTCCTCAGAGTTATTTGATCCAAATAATTCAACACAAGCCTCAAATGTTTCTGTATCTACTCCTGACACCATCTTACCAACTTCTCAACCGCCTTCAAGTACATCAGCGTTAGTGCGATCGTTGAGCCTTTCTTCAAACCATTCACAAGGGAAAAATCAGAGTAATCATCATCGTGCATCTTCCACATCACCATCAGGAACTAGCAAAAAGAAAGAAAGTGGTGTGCTTTTGTTTGATTATTCCATGCAAGTACCGTATGAGGGTGTTAAGCCTAGCGAAGGTAAATCATATTTAAAGTTGGAATTTTAATAATGTTTATGTTACTAATCATTTACATATTGCAGCTAACGAACCGCCACAACCAAATCATATCATCGAACTTTATGATTTTGCTGAATCTGACAATTTAATTGATATTACATTTGCTAATGCAACTATTAAAATGATTTATCCTCTCCCAAATTCATCTAATAAGCGGCCAACAATTTTAGCTATATTTAAGACTTCGCGTGAGGCTAACAAAGCAATGCAAAATTTCAAAGGTGTAAGATTCAAAATCAAGACATGGGAGCCTTTGGTGAAAAATAATGAAGGTAATGTCACACCACCAACTGTTGTCGACTAGATTTTGGAACCCATAGGACTTTCAATTTTTTTCCCGATATTCCAATGAAAATCCCACTAGAAGAATAATCCCCACTAGATTAAATAAAATATTAACCATAAAAAATGACTACATAAAGTTGTGTATACTGTCATATGAATTTATAATATTAGTAGGTACCCTTGCCTGTGGCAACAATGTAATCTATAAAAGTTGTAAACATTGTTTAGTATTTGTTTGGCAATGTTAACCATTAACAAATGAAGTGTTTAATAAAAAAATCAATTTAACGACTAAAAAATGATAGTTACCAGAAAAATCGTCGATGCCGTGACGTAAGAGCCAATCAAAAAGTTGGATACCTTTTGATGGTAAGCAGTCAAATTCGTGATTTAATAAACTTG